AATTATGAATACAAATGACGGGTTAGAAATGTAATGTTGTGACCTCCATCATATTTCTAAACAAAGGCTGGATAGAAGATGATATAAAATAAATGTGTTCACATATTATTTGTTTTTCTCTCATTGAAGCATTTCACTAATTAAGTTTTTTACTTATCAGCAAAACAGCTTGAAGCATTGAGGAAGATTTTTTATTTTCTTTCTGGCCAAAAATTAAATGACAATCAATAACGGGTTAGGGTTAGAGGGTTGTCTGGAAGTTCATAATATTCTTTATGTCAGAAACGCTTTTTCAAACAATTTCTAACCAACTGAAAGAAGATGGACAAGTTTTTTGCTATGATCAATAGCAATATTGATTGGAAAGTATTGACAATTTGGACAGTGCCAAACTGTGATCAGCAGCTTTAAGTGTGTGTGTGTGTGTGTGTGTGTGTGTGTGTGTGTGTGTTAGTGTGACACACAGAGAGACAGAGAAAAAAAAGATTTAGTTTTTTTGAATTTAGAAATGCTGAGACAAATCTACCAAGAGATAAAACAGAGAAAGAGAAAATGACAAAATTAAATATGGAGTGAGAGAAGTATTAAACCAAAAAAACTATAAAATGGATGAAAAAAAATCAACAAAGAAAAACAGGAAACAAGGGAAGAGGAGGACACAAGCGAGATGAATGGAGAAGATGACCGAAAGGAAAAGAAGAGAACATGAAATTAAAGAGACAATTGCTAAAAACTTTATCAAAAGTGGGGATAAAAAAAGCACAAGCAGAGTTAGATGAAATTTAAACAAAGCGATAGAAAGAGACGTGGCGAGAAGGGAAACCAGACAGGAGACAGAAACAGGACGTAAAGAGATGAGAAGGTGTCTGCCATCTGCAGAGTGCAGATAAATAAGTGAAGAGGCCTTGAGTTGCTTCAGGCCAAAGAAACAGAAACAAAGAGAAACTGTGGAGAAACTAAACCCATATTATCACAGAGACAAATTCTCATAAACGTCATATCAGAAGAAGACAGAATTTTTATTTCTGATTTTGACCAGCTACAATGACCCGTTACAGCAGATCAATGACGGGAAGAATAGAAGAACCATTATTCTTACAACAGATTCACAAACAGGTATTGTTGATTTTTTATTTGATTTCTGTTTTAAGTTGTAATCAATGCATAATTTAAATAATGTCATAATGTTGATTGTTCCGCATTATTAAAAAAAACAGGAATCAAGCCTAATCTCATATATTGAGGAATTTTAGTCATCCAATCAGATTTCACCACAATCTCTGTCAGACAATCAAATCTACACAAAGAGAATAGCCAAACAAACAAAAGCTTTTGTTACTTACGTGTGTTACTTGGTTGTGAGTCCATAGGAATCATAATTTTTCCTCGTGTTCCCCTCCTGGCAGCCAGGGAGCGCTCCAGAGTCGAGATACTGCTGGAGGCATCATCTCCATCCACTCCTGCAACGTCAAAACAATTTAACTATAACTCTAATTAACTTGTATGTTTTTAATACTGAAGAAAATGTTGATATATATTTCCTTTTTTTTTTCTCACGATGGATCAAGCATCACCACAAAGTAAATTTAATTAAAGTGAAATAAACTAGTTGGGGTGAGCAGAGAAAAATGGGGAGGAGAGGGGAGATGGGTGTAAACAAACCTCAAACAATACAACAGCAAAAAGAGTCAATTCAATTATATAAGTGTTTAAATGACAATAATAATAAAAGGACACAAAATCAATATGTGAACATCCATCTTTAACCTGAATGGCTGCTCTTGCTGCCAATCTGGCTCTCTGATTGGCTGTGTGCGACCTGGGGGAGGTCCTGGCAGGACTGGATGGGTGAGTCACGTGCCGATGGGGCAACGCTCGGAGCCTTCTCCATGTTCTTCATCTCCATCTCCTCGTGGTGGATCCAAAGGTCTGGAGGTCGCAGGTCCTTCTGGCTGCCCTTCCTCTTACTGGCACTGGTACTCGCTCTCTTCCTACACAGGATGAGAGCGGGAGTCAGCGAAGGACGGACTCGGACATAACACTGAAGCTAAGTCTTGTCGCTAAGCAACCCTTCAAATCCCAGCAGAGAAAAATACTTCAGATGTGCATCTTTTTTAAAATCATTGGTTTATTTAAAAAGACAGACAAAAACAACTGGGTGGAGCGATGAGGAGGAAAAATAAAAGTAATAATAAAGACATGATCCTATTGTAACTGGATTCTGAAATAAAGTCAAGAATAAGAATTTGAAATGAACTGAATTACAATCTTATATTTGACTGACAAAGATGAATGAACCGAATTTCAAAATAATAAAATGAAATGAAAATGACAATGACAATTTTTTCTGATATAACAAGTCATTTTATTTATACTTGTCATTTCTATATATAGCAGCACTGTCACCGACACACCCTAAAATTAAGCTAATTCACTGTCTTTGCCAACGATCAACCCACGGTGACCAGTGACGTCACCCGTTGGTTTGTCAGCTGCTGTTCTGAAGCCTCAGTTTCACATCGTGTTCAGCGTCGTCTTCGTTTTTTGAAACCTGAAGTAAACATATTTGGAGGAGCGGGGGGTGGAGCCTGACTGAGAGCTGGAGGACACTGCACACCCACCTGCACCCATTGGACAGTACTAGCTGTCAATCACACTGTGGTATCCACCCCCCATACAGTGCTTTATGGTCTATTTGTGAGAAGTAGAGTCATTTTCTCATAGACTTCTATAGAAACTACCAGTGGAGTCACCCCCTGCTGGTCAAAGAGAGAATACAGCGATCAGGCCCTGAAAACATTGGCTTCATTTTCCAGATTTCTTTCCCTGATACTTATTTACAGCAAGACACACATGAAAGAAACATCTTACTTCCTCTGTTTAGCCGAGGAGCGCCGGGTGCAGATGAGTGCGACGATGACAACCACGACTACCGTGACTGCTCCCACGGAAACCACGATGAGGACAAGAAGGTTGCCATTCTTTTGTGGCGTGGCGCTGCCGTGAGGTGGACGCATCTGACCAATGGGAGACTCTGGAATACGAAGATAAAAACAACTGGATGTTAAATATAAAAGTAAAATGTCAAAACAAAAAGAGGTCGTGGTTTGAATTGATTTAATTTTACTTTATTACCTTGATGTTGTAGTATAATTACTTTTGTAAAGAAACAAAGCTACAAATTAAAAGTCTGCAGAATAAAACCCACTGTCGTTTCAACAGACTGAACACAACGCTGCTGCCACCAATCAATACGTGTGTGTGCATGTATGTGTGTGTGTTCGGCTAAAGGGAGAAATTGATGACATGCTCTGTCCTTCATTAACTTTACCTTCACTGAGAGAGAGAGAAAATAAGAAAACAAGAAACAGAGGTCTGGTTGGAGAGAAGAGGGAATGTGTTGAAGGACGAGAGAAGAGGAATAGAACTAAAGTGGCAGTGGTGGGTTAAGAAAGATATAGATGGAGAGAGAGAAAGGGCAGAACATCAGGAGGAAGAGAAGTGTGGGGGAGGAAACGCAGGTAAGAAAGTATATGACACATTGAGCGAGAGGCACTTTACCTCTCTCTCTCTCTCTCTCTCTCTCTCCCTCTACCGTTCACTGTCTACCTCTCTCTCTCTCTCTCTCTCTACCGTTCACTGTCTACCTCTCTCTCTCTCTCTCTCTCTCTCTCTCTCTCTGTGTTGCATCGTCAGTCTCAATGAAAACCACAATCCATCACAGCTGCAGCCAGACTCACTTCTTTTTCTTTTTCTCTCTTTTTAAAGTTAGATTTAAAACCTTTCGTCCTATTGTGAAACACATTTTTCAATTAACGTTCATTTAACAACAAGCAGAGGCTTCCTCCATCTTTACTCATAACTAAATGTCACAGAGTCATTGAAAGGGTTCAACCTCTGGGGAAAATGTAATTGAAGGAGTATGTCTGCAGGTTTTAATTTCAGCCTTTATCACCAAGAGGATGTAAACAGAAAGAAGTGTTTGAAGCTCTGGCTGCTTGATAATCTTAATATTCTAACATCACTCTTATTAGTATTAAACTTAAATTATAACTATGATTTTAATACTAAAGGTGAAATTCATGTAATACTTTATACAAACACTGATTCTAAACACTGATCGTGATGGAGAATCATGTTGTTCACTGTAACTGCGTCTTCTTGTTCCTGTTCGATCACCACAGCAGAGGTCAGAGGTCAGGGTCTGTCGCTGGCAGTGATTCAGTGTCTCACTGGAACGACGCTGAGGTGTCTCTATGTTTCGTCAGCACCGTGGCAACCGCTGCTGCCGGACGCCATCGTAAATCTACATCATCTGACCTCCGCCCTCCTCTGGCTATAGACGGTCGCCAAGGGCGAAGTGTCGTTTATCAGCTCAATGGTTTTTCATCTTTAACGTCACAGAGCTTCCTCTCACTGAAAAACAACCCAGAGAAATTTACCGCTGTCTCTTCTCATGAGGTCACAGCTTTGCAGGTCACTATGTTGCAGTGTGTGCTCAGGTGATCTGATCCAGGTATCTGATCCCGCCTGATTCAATTCCGTGGTATGGAGGTCCTGCCCGCATTGTGTTATCAATCACGAGTCAGTCTCAACTGTCAATCATGACGTCTCAGTCCATTTTTCTATCAACTGAAATAAAACAGTGTTGTGCTTTTTTTTTTAAAACTAGTTTTATGTCACCGCCTTCATTTAATCCTGTTTCTCATAGAGATGATTCTTCTTTCTCAAGTTTGTAAAAATGCTGATTGATGGTGAGACATTAACTGTAATTAATTTCTTCCCGGCAGCAGTGATTCCATAAGAAACAGGAAACATTTTTTAAAAACTCTAAATCAGCAAGAGGCCGCGAGTCGTTAAAGAAAGTTTAAAAATGAAACACACACACACACAGACAGACAGAGAGAGAGATTCACTGAGAAGAACACAATTTTTTACCGTTGATGCTGCTCTTGTCAATGAGATTGGTGTCAGACGGCCAGTAGGTGTGGTCTCCTCCGCGACCTGGAAGATGAGAAATAAACAGGAAGTCAGAAGAGAGAAGAGTGACACAAAAAGAGAAGGAGAGAAAAAGAAGAGAGAGATTAGTGGTTCTAGTCTTGGCAAAGCAAAGAATGGTGTGGGTCCTGAGCTGAGTGGGAGAACAGTTAAAATATTAGAATCCAATAAAGAATTTGATGGCAGGAAGTTATTGTGTTGAGGTTTGAGGAGGACGTCAGATCCTGACAGAGGCTGAAACTGATGAGAGACAGAATCCAAAGAGCTGCAGCACATCACAAAAAAAGACACAGAATTCTGAAGCTAGATTCATCCTGCAAGTTGTCATTTGTTGTCTCTACAATTACAAATCTGATGTTTGTCTTTAATTTTCAAGTTACAGAAAACTGGATGATAAAGGCCAGCGCAGCTTTGTGTTCATTAAACAGTGTGTGTGTGTGTGTGTGTGTGTGTGTGTGTACAGTGGACGCCCACCCCCCTCCAAAAAACACTTATTCTCTACATGGAGAGGGAGCACACACACACACAAATGCATGCACGCAAACACACTCACATGCAAACACACACAGACACACACATACTCACACACACTCACAGACACACACATACTCACACACACTCACACGTTCAGCTCAAGAGTTTCAGAGCTGTCACAGATATTAAGATGAAATGCAGAAGCCACAAAGAAGTTTGTCTGAATGGAAGTCAGACTTTTTCAGTATTTGTCTCATATTAATCGGATTTATTTAACTTGTGTCGATGTTTAAGAATAAAGGAAAGGGGATATGAAAGGAGGCAAGGTGAGATGGAATGTGAGAAGAAAAGGAGAAAACAGAAGAAGTTTTAGAAGGAAGGAAAGAATGATGGAGGGATGGTGATGAGGGTTAAAATCTCAGCTTTGTTGGTCTCATGTTCACTGATGAGAAACGTTTATGTGAACATATTCGGTTCTCTCCATAGTAGAATTTATTTTTCATTTTATACAAACAGCCCTGGCTTGCGGAGCAGAGGGAAAATCTAAAAACAACTTTTTACTGGGAGAGAAATGAAAGCAGATCAGGGGAAGAGGAGGCTGTTGTGAATATTAATGCAGACGCACAAGAGCTGCTTAACATATTGAAGTTCATCAAATGAACTCAGACATAATTAACACTGTTCTCTGGTTCCATTCATCAGCTGCATGAAGACACATGATGCTCATGAACGTCAGATCCCTTTGAAATCTCAGAACATGACGCCTGGTTTTAGACATTTAATGTTTATTAGAAATGATTTTAAAGCATCTGGATTTAAAGCCTAATGAACGATTATATTTTTTTACCCATTTTTATTATTGTTCTGATGTCAACATAATGTCGAAGTAAACTGCCCCAGTGCATTCTGGGCTTTGACCAGCAGTACATCATCTACCATTCTTTTTAAAAACCAGGTGTGTGTGGGTGGATTTGTCAGGTGATACGAGAAAACTCATCATCAGTGTGTGAATCATCGAAAATAACTCAGATACTGGCTTTGGCTTCACTTTTGTGGAGCCATGATGTCGTCCATCTTTATGGTCTGAGGTCAATGATGTTTTACTTGATGTGGAAACACCGAGCGAATCTGTAAATATTTGATTGTGTTCCAATTATTATTTAATCAACAACATAAATATGATTTTCAATAAGATTAAGATTCCTCTTTATTGTCCCACAATCATTCACACACAGCACTTCATGCAACATGGGGAAATTTGACCTCTGCATTTAACCCATCCGTGTGAACACAGCACACGGAGCACAATCCACACAGTGACCACACGGAGCAGTGGGCAGCCATGAAGGCGCCCGGGGAGCAATTGGGGGGTTCGGTGTCTTGCTCAAGGGCACCTCGGCAATGCCCAGGTAACTGTAGCACTGTAACTGTAGAATATCAAGTTAATTCATTATTAACTTTATAACAATATTCTTTTTCATGGTTCAACATCAATTTGACAAAGTGGATCAGTTCAGATTTAATTGAGTGAAACAATGGATCCTGAAATCCAGAGAACACTGGAACTTGATGAGCTGCGTTGAAGTGACACAAACATTTGACCTTTGAACCGGTGAAATGTTTTAATTTATCCTCAGATTCTCAACACATCACAAATCACACTGATGATTTGAAGGTGTGAGGACAAGTGAAATAAAACCAAGACGTTGGCTGAATTTTGAATTGAAATGGAATTGTGTGCTGTCAATTGTGAATTATGAGTTGAGCCAGTAAAAAGGAGAATTTCTGTCACTTGGGACGAACATTAAAGTTTATCTTTCTAATTGTTGGTGATGTGAGTGCAAATTTAATTTTACTATAAATTCAAATGAAAGTCAATCTAAAGTCACTTTTAAACTTAAATATATAAACTGTTAATGATGTTCGAATGTGAAATTAAATGAAAAAGAAGGATTTTACATCAAAATGAATGAGCAGAGGATTTTTATATTTGAGGCTGTGAAACTGCGTCTTAAGAAAAACAGCTGCAAGACTTATTTAAATGAATAAATCCTACCTTGATCATTTGCCATCTTGTCTGGATGTTCCACTGGAGGAAAAAGACAAAAAGAGTCAGAAAACTTATATAAAATAAAAACATTCATTCACACACACAAGATAACAAACCTTTGGCGGTCCTGAAGTGGACGGGCTCAGACAGCGGGCCGACCCCTTTGGCATTCTTGGCCTGAATCCTGAAGTAATAAACCGTGTCGAGGTTCAGATCGACGACCTGGTGAGTGAGCCGGTCGCCGCTGATCGCCTCCATTACCCAGTCGTCTATCGGCATGTTCTTATCCAGTGTGTAGTACAGGATGTAACCTGTCGGACAACAGCTCATAAAATAAACTAAATGACTTAAGAGGAGGTGAACAAGTGGATTGAGTCCATATTCACATTTAAAGTGTGACATCAGATATTGGGTTTTGAAAAATAACATCTGAGATGCAAAAAGTTTCATGACAGAATAAAGACAAAGAAGTGAATGTATCTGTAACATTGAAGAAAAGAATAATAAATCAATTGTTATGGAATCACACAGAAAGATAAAAGTCTAAAATATTTGATGTGTGTGTGTTGCGTTGTTATGGCTGCAGGGAGCGTTTGATTTGTCCTTTGAGACGCGGCAGGAGCAGCAGAGCTTGTTAAAAGACGAGTGGAAGAGAAAAAAGTGTGTTTGAATTCAGTGTTTCTTTAACTCTTCAACTCACTGTTAAATCTGTGAGAAAATAACTGTTGCTTTATTTTCAGGCTTTTGAAGGCAGATAAACGAACTAACGAGATAGTAGCCAGCAGGTTCACACTGATTCATTACCTGAATTCGACATGTTTGTACAATCGCTCACCTGTGATTCGTCCATTAGCCTCCATCGGCGGTTGCCAGCTGATTAAAATGGCGCGGGGTCGTCCCTCGCGGCTGATTACAGTCAAGTCTTTGGGAGCGGAACTAGGAGCTGTCAGAAACACAAACAGGAAGAAGTGTGAGAAATGATGGAATGAGATGAAACTTGATGAAAGGATATGAGACGTGCTGAGAAAGAACTGAGTTAATGTTTTGTTTGGATTCTCTTTGTGAGATTTTTGTTTTTAGACATTAGACACTGATTTCTCAGAAAACAATTAATCGATCTTGATGAAGAACCGGAGGCATATTTAGAAGAGTGTGTGTAATTTGCTGCAGTTTAATTGAAGGTTGCTCCTCTTCTCTGTTCTGTCTTAACCTCAGACCTCAGTAATGATCGAGACTGTGACTCTCCTGTTGTGAGAATGTCAAATCTTCACCCTCAGAACTCATGACTTTTCCTCCTCAGTCGTCATCATGCAAACTAAGTGGCAGCTTATCAGAGTTTACAGTATATATTTCCTGCTTATAGATGTGATTTTGCGCATTTCTTTTTGAATTTCACACCAGGGCGACTGCAGCCCAGCAGAAGTCATTGAAACTGACACAATGTGCTGGAGTAAATAACGAATTCCAGCTGAACCTGTTAGTGACTTTGACAACCTGCACTTCTCTGAAAGGCAGACGGAGCGGAGAACATTCACTGAGAATAAACCTGCTGGGGAAAATAGATCTAAACTGAAATCATTTCAATTACAAGTACATCTTCAGTTAATAATAAATGCTCCTGAGTGGTTGACAAGGCCGACTGATCTGCATCAGGATAAGTGAAAAAAAGAAAATCACAGATTTTAATAACAGTAATTTTAAATGAAAAACACAATTTGAGTTTAAAGCAACACAATAAACTCAGATCTGACAGAATCATTGTTTGCACTAATTTAAAGTCCTGAGCAAAGGTTGTTCAAATGATCGGACTGATTCAACAGATTGGAGGTGGGCGGAGCTATGTTCCAAAATGATAATGAGGACTTGACCTTGACTCCTGAGATTAAGGACGTGGTCACACAGGTGAATAAAACATTCGCTTCCTGTGGTGCAGCAAATCTGCAGTGTGGCTTCTTGAGGGGTTCAACTTTAACCCAAGATATTTGCTTAGCATTTGTGAATTATTATTTATCACAGTAATTATTTAAGATCTTCGCATTGAAAACATCACAAAAAAAGCTGAAGGACATTACAATGAGGCTCCGATTTAGTCCAAATAGATGTCAACAACAGTCCCCTGATACTCAATGACGCCTTATAGCCAAGCCATGTTACATTATCTCCACTCCACAATGGTTGTACTGACTGGTTTGTTGCCTGACTTGTTACAATACAGCGTCTGAAGAAAGCCTATTCCAGATCAACACCCAAATGTGGTGGATTCTTTCTTGTTCTATCCGCTCCCCAGTTTCAGGAAAATCTGGTCAGAAATGTCTTCACAAATGGACATAGGTGAAAAATGACCTCTTTGGCAGAGGTAAAAACATATTCTCTATATGTTTTATAAGTTTTTGTATTTTTCAATAGCACCTCCCAGATAAGGTCACACCCAGTTACGGTGAAGTTTGTCAGAGATATCTAATTACAACATTATAGGCAAGGCAATTTTATTTGTACAGCACATGTATTTTACTACGTGGAGTATTATAATACTGTAGTACTGTGGAGTACTGCGCCTGAAGGTGCTGATGCTGCTAGTGATACCATCATGATGTTACCATGGCAACCATATGAAGCTCTTCATTCATTTCCTTCATTCAAACCGAAAGACTAATACACCCCCCCCCCACCTGACAACACGCCCACATCAGACGTGGTCTACAAACCAATTATTGTCAAGTATAGGGAGACCACGTCCACGTAGGTGATGACGACAGGATGTATAGGCACAGACAAAATTCTTTAGTCTCTATAATTACAAAGTGAAAATCAAATGAAACTATGAACAAACACATTAAGCTTCAGACTGAGATCAGAAAACGACCTGATGGTGACGGGTAACAATACAAACAACTAGCACAGTAATAAAAATTACTAATATAGTAATAATAATCATATGCAGCTGGTGTGATTTAGACTGAGTGATGATTATTACGAGTCAGGCAGCGGTGTTAGAGCTGCTGTAAAGAGCTGGTGGATCACTGCAGGGACTGAGTGGGCTCCGTCCGTCTGCTCGCTATGAATGTCAATGTATTCTGGTGGGCCCCCAGGGAGCCAGCGGGGGCAATGCTGTTCACACTTAATTGGATGACAAATCCACCAGACATGATTGTAAACATCCTGATAGGAACACCTTGACATTTTGATTTTAGTCTGTGGACGGGTATCACTGTTGCAGACAGTCGTCATGTCGGTGTGGGGAAAGATTTACACATCGGTGAACCCAAATATGTGTATTCTTCGACAACTTATTAAGCAACGTCTCTATCTTTCAAGGGAAAACAATACATTGTGCACCCATATTGTTTTGGTGAACTCTTGTTTTCCCTCATTCAGATGATCTCTGTTTTTCCAAGAGTGTAAAATAGCCTGAGAGAAAAACTGTGAACTTCATGTATTGAGTCATTTCAGATGTCAGTGGAAAGAAATTGCTGCAGGGAAAATACATTATAATTGGAAAGTAACTACAGTAAGATTTATTATTTTTCAAAAAATCTAACTAAAAACAAAATTGAGGCTAAAGATTCATCTTTTCCTTCAGTATTTATGTTCTACATATCTACTTCTACTTATCTACTTACTATTTCTTATTCTGTTCCTCTCCTGAGGCTTTCACATTATGTATTTAAGTCTTTATATCTTTTGAATTATTTTGTGCTTTATACTTGAACTAACCTCAGTAACAGTACTTAGACTAGAAATCATTCACCTCCACTCAACAATAAACCTCATTAGTTCAGAATCAGCTGTTTCATTCACGTTTCATTGTCAGTGGCTCATTCAGCAGCTGTTAGGAGTAAACGTCAGAGTGAGACTCAGTTTGTCTGTCTCCTCCTTCACTCCAGTTTAAAGTCTAAGTCCAGGAGAAGTGAGGACACAGCAGAGCGTCCTCCACTGATCCACTGAGGGAGTGGGGGGGTGATGAGCTTCTAACATGTGACACAAACATGAAGAAACACAAACAAATGTCTCTGGAGACAAAGTGCTGACACACACGTAGAAGACACAGACGAAGACGTGAAGACAGTTTGTGGTGATAAGAGCTGACGATGGTGTCAGGTGATGTAAACATGATCACATGATCACTTCCTGTCTGTCTGCTCCACCTCTCACCTGAAGAACGAGGAGGATCTGATGCTGAACGAGTCTGAGCAGAAAACCTGCTGCTGAGTTGTTCAGCTGTGAAACATGAACTCTGGAGACGAGCCTCTGGAGACGAGTCTCTGGATTCTACTTGCAGGTCTGAAAACAGCTTTAGAGAGACATACCTGCTTCGTACGTGGTGGCATGTGCCGTCATACTCCATGTGCTCGACTTGCGTCCTTTGGTTACCATGACAGCAAACTCGTACATGGTGTTTGGTTTGAGACCGGAAACAGTGTGGCTGAGCGCCGTGGTGTCTGCAGACTGGACAGAAAAAGAGATGTTTTGTAAAGAAACAAGATTCTACATTATTTTCTTATAGGTGTATGTATGTACTGTATGTACAGTATATATACAGTATATACACACAATACATATATGTATATATACACATACATATGCTTCACTGAGTCTTACAACACTGGTATTTTGAAGGTTTTGTCATCCTAAACTACTTCTGCCTGCTTTGCGCAAATTATATCAGCCTCAAATTTCTACCAAATCATTGGCAAAGTGTGGACGCATGAACATTTAAGAAGCCCCGTCATCTGGCCCTTGTTGCTAGGAAACAGTTGCATCCCAGGGAATGTCACCTTACTGGCAGACTCGCAAAAACACACAGCAACCACTTAGCGTCCAGCTGAAAGTGGTTCAGATCTGAGACAATGCTGTAAAAGTAGGAAACTTCACTCCTGCTCTCTGTGATAACAGAATGGTTCCAGATGGTGCTGGTCCCCGAGCTTCTTGACGTTCCTCAGGTAACCCTGAACCACATACTCCATCTCACTTTTGCCAAACTTAGTGATCAGTTAATTACATCTGGTAGAATCTGACCACCAATGCCTCATTTATTTGGGAAAGGGTATTTAACTATAAATAAAAATCTATGTATCTCCAAGTTGTGTTTCCCTACAGAGCAGAGCCAGAGACCCTTGTATCAAGAGTTTACTCCTGGTTGTTTCTGGTTTCTCCATCATTTGACGGCGGGGTCCCAATTTTCTACAAGTGCACATTTGGAGTAGTAGTCACTACATCATCATCTGGCAGCTTGTGAGTGTGGAGCGACAAAGTATCTGCTTTGCAAGTTATAACTTTCAAGTCTTATGAAACCTTAGATCAAATCCCAAACCAGGAACAATAAGACAAGACAATTAAGTCCCAAGTTAAAAGTGAACTCATGACAGGTCAATTCCTAAACATGTTAATGTTGGACAGATTAGTTTGTAGGTCAGCTCTCAAATTGATACTCATGAGTCCTAAGTTAAAATAGGCTCCAAATCATTGCACAAGTCAGAACCCCGTTGTCCAAAGTCGAGCCTCAAATCAATCAGTCAAACTCAAGAGGACTTTCAAGTAAAGTCCAAGTTGCTGTTTGGCACAATCAAACACACCAATCACTCCTGATTGTGCAATGTTGGCTGCTGTCACACTGATTCTTAACACATCTGTTACAAGGAAAATTAGGTTTAAAGATTATATTTAAAGACCAAGTAACTGGTATTACAGTCAGAATCAAACCTTGTTTGACTTTCAAGCAAATGGCAGATTTATGACTAAAGTCTGTCATGTGTCCACATCATGTCAACACCTCTGGCAGAGGCAATATTAAACCATGAAGTGAAGAAGAACAGCTCATAGATTGATTTCTTTCTACCTTGTACTTTCCGCTGGTGGAGTAGCTGGTCTTCCATTTGACGGAGTAGTACCGGACCTCAGACGACTTCTGGTTCTTGGTCATGGAGTTGTCAGCCCAGGAAACCCGGACGGAGTCTGAGGACAGAGCCACAGCTTGGACCCCCACTGGGGGAATCATGGGAGTGCTGGTGTCTGGCATGGGAGTGGGGTATTTATCAAAGAGATGGAAAAGGTCATCCTCAGATGGGTCTATGGGGTCTGGGTGTATGTGATGGGTTATTCACAGTAACCAGGGTGTTTGGGAATAATTAACGGATCCATACAGTAAAATGAATGTGTAATAATGAAGGTTTATATATGGAGACATGAGTGGCACAATATATTTGGATTAATACAGGGTTGTGTATGCAAATGAAAATCAAAAGCAAAAATGAAGGAGTTTTTAAGCCATGTTTGTTTGGGAGGAGAGGAGGAAGTACAAGAAGAGGAATGGATGAACGAGGAAGTGTAAAACAGAGAGAGGAGAGGAGAAGACAAAGAGTAAGAACACTTCTTAACAAGAAGTGGAGCCACAGATCCACAGAGAGATAGTTCTTAAAGAACAAAACAGTGGAACCCTCAGAAATCTCTCACTATAGAACCTATTTTTTTACGTTATAGAATATTTACTGGAGACATCATAAAAATATTAAAAATAACCCATAGATCATTTGTTATTGTTAAACAGCTTCGATAAGTTGTGCGGGACAATGTCTTTTATGCAAATATTCAATAATATTCAGTAAGTGGCAAAGCCCTCTAGTGGTCATAATTGTCATGATCTGGGAAAAGGTAGACATTAGATGATGTTGTACGGACTTCAACACAGGGACACTTTCCCATTTCAAATCATCAATGACATCAATCTTCCCTTCACCACATTTATACACGTTTTCAGTTTGATAAGATAATATTGATCCGCACACCAGGGAAATTCACCTGTTACAGCAGCAGACAAATCAGAATGTGGTAGACAAAGAATAAAAATATTAAAAGCCTATAGAAAGTAATATTAAATGCAGAACATGGACATAACATACACCTTTCACTACAAAAATATTTTGTTATCAAGTAAAGTGGCACAGGATGATTGCACGAGCATGTTAAACTGTATTTGTGCAAGTACAAGGAGATACAGGGAGAGTTGTGTCCATATTAGTGCATTTTTCACACAACATGATATTGATATAGATTCTGTTGGGTTTGAATAGATGAAATCATCTGTGGATCTGTGGCTCCAGACCATCTGCTGCCTTCAGGTGCTTTCAGAAACTACATTTCACAAATATCACAAATTAATATTATACATCTTCTTTGGTAGTTTGTATTCTTTCATGCAAATTTTTTACTTGTTAATGTTGAACTGTATGAACATAAATAGCTTCCAACATGCAGCACCGGAACGCCTCACTGGAAGAAGAACCCGGACGTTCAGACTAGAAAACATAACAGCAGTAGAACATGAAACACATGCTAAGAGATGCTAAGAGATGCTAACACATACAACGTTATCATTGCTCTATTGACAATTTCTGTTTTCCCTAAAGGATTTCTTAATTTGTGTGAGTTGTATTTATGTATTTCCTTTGATCGAGTTTTATCTGTTGTCGAAGTTGTTTTAACTTATGGTGTTTTCTTGAGATACAGCATGTCCCCATTTCCCTTTCACCCAGTCCTCCGTCACCCTGTCCTCTGTCCCCTGTCACCCAGTCCTATGTCACCC